AATAAAATAAAATAAATAAATAATAAATAATAAATAATAATAAAATAATAATAAAATAATAAAATAATAAAATAATAAAATAATAAAATAATAAAATAAATAATAAAATAATAAAATAAATATAAATTAAATAAATAATAAATTAAATAAATTAAATAAATAATAAAATAAGTAAAATAAATAAAATTACCTACCCCAAATTATTGTCCTTGAGTTGTGTTGGGACTGAAATGTTCCGAGTTTGTGAATTAATCAATTGCTATAGGGTAGCATCTTGGAACCAGAAATAACCATTTGGGTTATTTCTGTACTGGAGATCTGATTTGGTTATCCCCTCTCTCCAAAGAAAGTCGAGAAATGTAATTGATGGATTGAAAGGCATATGTGAATGTTTTGCAAATATGGACCCTCTGTTTGCAAACATGTTTTCTTTATTTTTGTGGGGTCGGAAATAGCTAAGTGGTCACCATTATGGAGAGCAGGGTAGGCATCTCCATCATCAAGACTGCGACTATGTGCTCAGTGAATAGGTGGCAGCAAAAAACTATGGTACTTCCTTTGGCACTACCAAGTGGTCATGCAGCTTTGGCAACTTAAGATATGCTAGTCCTACAACAGAATCTTAGCAGTGATTAGCACACATCACAAACACTAAGAATTTTCGGGAGCAAACTATGATACACATTTGCAACAATGGTGGGTTTCTTCTTTTTTTTTACTACCAGTTCACGTGTACTTGCGCATGTGCGCAATGTTTCTGTGCATGCGTAGAAGTGCCTGGGTGGGTGGGCGGAGCCTCCCGTCGCTACCACTACCGGTTTGCACGATCCGGGCCAAATCGATAAAAACACTCTGATTTGCGACCCCATTCTAATTGGCTAAGGCAAGATAAAAGATAAACAATCTATAGTTATAGTGCATTAACTCTGATTTAATACAATGTTTGAATATAGTCGCTGTCTTCAGAAGAATACACTCATACACTAGCTGCCTTCTTGAGTGAATGTAAAAGGGATGGATCTCTAAAGACAGGAGCATGTAAAATGTGTGCTGAGAAAATGTAAAATTCTCACAGCAGGAATACAACTTGAAGGCAAATATTTGAGTTATGGACAAACACATATTTATAGGTTTAAAGAAAAATGAATTGACGCAAAGTCTTCCTCATGCTTAAGTAATATACAAGATCTGATAAGACACTTTTTCTAACCTGCATCTTGTAAAACAAATACTAAATTGCATACTATTTAATTTGAGTTCTATTAAAAGCATAATTTGGGGCGTATCTTTTAAGTAAATGCCACTGTGAATCCCATGGTCCTCACTTCTAGTTAAGTCAGCATAGTCTTTCAGCTTAACTAAGCTCTTCAGAGCTGTTAGTAATTGTATAAAATTACAATGGCACTGAAAAAAGTGACTTATGACCGTT